TGCACAGCAAAAACGCATAAAAACGCATAATCGCACCGGCCCGCCTGGTGCGTTCCAGCCTGGGTTTGCACTCCTTTTTGTATTTCGCAGTCTCTTCAGCGCAGTAAAGGACTGCTCTGAGTGTGCCTTTTCATACCGTGTTAATAATAAGACTTCAGCATTAGCCGGACAGTAAATACGAGGGCCGGATGCTAGTATCGTTATTGTGATGCAGAAGCCAAGCACAGTTTTGCCAGGCTGCATGTCTGTTAGCGAATACCCACCGCCTGCCCACTGTATGTGCGCCACCTCTTTGGGGTCCGCTTGAGCGGTCGTTTTTCCCTTTCGCGGATACCACTCAGTGACAGATGAGACTCATCAATTGGAAGCTAAATGAGCAACACATGCTAGTTGTCCAGTTTTACTTCGTCTCAGTAATATCTCTTACGCTTCTCATTTGACAGTATCTCTTACGAAAGAACATCCCTTCTTTTATTGGCGACGTTTCGCATCCATAAATCATACTGTTTTAGTACAACACGTGGAGTTATCACTTCTACACCACATTTTACATTTTTCTGTAATTCTTCTCTCCCTGGCCAATGCGCGGTTTACGTTAATTCAGCTGCTTACTTTCATTTTCAGTATCTTATTAAATGAAATTAACGCCAAAAATATCACCTGTTGAATAGCTCGATTAAAGGTTTGAGTGCACGTAAAGAGGCAGATGAAACGAACACAGGTGCAGTATTACTGAAATTGGACAACGTTGAAAATGATGTACCAACAGTTGCATGTTATAAGCTGACTGCCATTGCTGCGCCGCTAATGAATCATTTGAAAGCAATGATGCAAGTTATCCAGGACCAACAGAACGAAATCAAAACCATTAAGCAGCAGCTTCATCAATACAAAGTAAGCATTGCAAGTAATAACTTGTAGAATTATTCTCAAAAACACCTTTCAGCATTCTGTGTTCTAAATTGTGGTCTTGGGTATGAATTCGTGCTAATTTTAAAAATCGAAAACTGACAAAGCTATAAATTCAAGATTTGCGATATTAATTTGTCAGGTATTGTGTTTTGTTTAGTCAGCATGATGTAAAAGTAGCCTACCTCTTACTCATAGTCCCGTATTCAACAACCACAGCCGAATGAATGATCGATTGCTTCAAATCATTGATTTGAAAATATATTTCGGAAGATCAAGTCCGTTTGTGTGTTTGTATGCATTTGTGCTAGTGGCCGTATTTCGGGACCACCGTTTCGGCTACGTACGGATCCAAAAGCGTGTATCACGTATTCATTGACTGGTTGTTTTTTCAATGCCTCGTTACATCTCGTGGCAACTTCTCCACTCTTCGTACTGTTATATTGAGGCCATTCCACCGTGTTGGTGGCATCTTTTTATTTTTATACACTTGCATGAAACTCTAAGTTGTCACACTGGTCACACCCCTATAGGTCTTCCTGAATGCATTTGCTGTTTTTTCGCCTCCTGCCCGACTTTCTTTTGCACAGATCCTGTCCGGGTATGATGTTTCCTGCTGGGGCATCGTTTGTGTTGCACTTGTCCTCTTGCTGGGAACTTCAGCTTGCTAGGCTGAATAGGAGGTGAAAAGAAGACTGCTTGTTGCAACAGGAAATTCATAATTGTAATTCGTACAAATAACTTCATGTCTTTGATTTACTGCACTTTCTGTATTCCTTGTTTACTTACTGCTCCTGTATTTTCTGATCTTTCTAATCTGTAATAAGAACAAACTGTGTTCATGAAAAAGTGCTTGCTTTTGCTCCATCACACTACTTTTTCAATGACTGCACGTCTTCATCCACTTTGGAAGGTAACCATCTTTTTTTGGGGCAGTTAATGTATCGGAATGCGTTGTGTATGAATTTCAGGAGCTCGCTGACGGGACAGACAGGGCAGGTAGCGAGGAGACGTTGGCAGAAGGTACAGAATGCAAGCAGCTAATTTCGGATGCTGAAGCGGAAAGGCGTAAGCGATTGCAAACGAAACGACAGCGCAATACAGCTGTGACTCTGTCCGCCGCGTCCATGCATCTCTCATCTCCAACAAACAGCAGTTGATGACACTTTTCAGAAAGTCTCACTGATGCTTGCTGCTTTCCAGATTCCTTTGGCGTGAACTTCATGGAACTCCGTACAGGTGTCGTTCCAATCAGCAAATAACAGTCCTGCTCATTGGGCACGATGCTGTTTGGAGCGAATCTCATCAAGACCATTCAAACGTCAGTTTGGAGCTCTGATGTCGCTGAGACGCACCAAATTCAGCGGCCGTTATGCCAGGCTCTTTCGTTATGAGTTACATGTCTCCAGTTTATGCCTCCTCCTATATCTAGCGAAGAGTATCTACACTTCTCAAATTTTGGTCTTCAAAAAGATATACAAAGACTTAATCTTTCAGCAAACGCATGCATTACACAACACTATTGTGGAGGATATTTCTGAGACATGTGCGGTTGTTACTTAATAATAGTATCCATTTTTAGAATTAGTTTTTTTGTTTATTTGCGCTTGATATTTTTTGAGTTACTGGGTTTTGAATTGTTTGTGATTGCTCGATGCCATCCGGTGCACTGAACGGTGCAAACTTTTTAAACATATATTGCTACATTGTTTGTAAATTGCATTTATAAATGGCAATTTTCCAATTTTTTGTATAATTCAAAATCGCATCATAGCGATATAACGCGCTTTTCAGAGGCCATTCACTCCGTACAAGAAAGCACTCGGCAGTACCCGAATAGCAGCGTACGCAGAAGCAACCATCCATCGGAAAGGCAGTCGCTGTCTGCCCCTTTCGAGTATTGCTTAGAAGCAAGCTGATGTCGAGTTTAATCTTCCTGACCAACTTCAGTGGCAGTTTATTATCGAAACGAATGAACGAGTCGTAGAGAGACTAGTTATTTCACTAGTGATTCGAACCTTCGACATTCTGCACGAAAACAGCGTTGATTACGAAATGTCTGAAGCAGAAAATGCAGTGTTTGACCGCACAATGGGCCACAAACATGAAGTTAGCCTCTCACTCTTTCGCCCCTATTCTCTCCTACAGCTCCAATCTAAAACGACGAAAATTTGTTAACTGACAATGAACAATTTTACAAACAGGGAATTTTTGGAATTTTATTGTTTCGAGTAATGTAAGGTGAATAACCAACAATCAGCTTTCCGATCAAACTACTTCCTCATCGGCGATTCCGGTTAAAGGTTTGCCTAATTCTGTGCTTCCGGAATAGGGCGAGACAAAAACTCAGGAATTTAAGAGTCTATTCACTTTATGCAAAATTAATGATGTAAAATCAGCTTTCAAATCAACATGTCTGCTGAGCTGTTGAAGAAACCAAAGCCAGTTTTGCAGATACAGAATGAAGTAAGCCAAGATCTCGGAACCACACTGCTCACGTGCGTTACTGAAGTCAAAGTATTTCAAATTCTG